AGGGAAGGAATTGGGGGGGGGAAGGGATGAAGCAAAGTGGGGGAAGAAGGGGGTGCCAAAGCCCCATCCTGCCTCCAATCTGCAGCTCTGGACACACCATTCTTTGCATCTGAGTGCTCACAGACTCGATCTGTTGGACAAGTGGCACTAGAATAGTCTCATTAACCCACTAGGAAAGACAAAGGTGAAAATTCAAGAGTTCAGAAGCAAGAAAAATGGTTAAAAATATGCCAACCTTTAGCTTACATCCTACTAATCATCACCGTTACCAATCACAAAGGAGCTTAACAACAGACCAGATTGAAGCTAGCCAAGGAGAAAAGGAATTAAATTAGAGTATCAAGTCAGGTGGAGTTTCAGTGACTCTCTAATACTTTCTAAAAGAGAAGGGGTGGCCGGTAGGTTCAGGGGAGACTGTTGGAATCTTGGGGGGAAAAATGGAGAACTGGGGGCCCCGTGGGATCTGGGCAGGGGCTAAGGGGATTTTGGAGGGACTAGGGCGGGGGGGGGGGCAAATGGGGTTTGGAGAGGCCACAGGGCTGATTTGGGGTCCCTGAGGGTCCCAGGGGTACCTGAGCCCCCCCACCCCCCTCCATGTGTCCCCCCTCAGCAGATGCTGCTGCCTCAGGTGTACCCCGTGAGCATCAGCCCCAACTACCTCCAGTACTAGTGTTGGGAGGTACTCCAGGTGCTACTGGGAGGAACTGGAAAGGGGCTGGAGTTCACCAGAAGGGCTGCTTGGAGGGCACTGGAGGGCACTGGGAGGCAGCTGGGGGCTACTAGGAGGGACCTGGGGGGACTGGGAGGGTAACTGGGAGCACCAGGAGAGGACTGGAGACACTGGAAGGTGGTTGGAGGACACTGGGAGGAGCCAGAGCAGTGCTGGTAGAGACTGGGGGGTAACTGGGAGGGAGGTGGTGTAGGTGGGGGTAAATGGGTAGCACTGGGAGGTGTCTGGGGGTTAAGGAGAAGGACTGGGAAGTAGCTGGGAGGCAGGTGGGGGTAACTGGGAGTAACTGGGAGTAACTGGGTGTGACTGGGAGCACTGGGCAGGCTCTGTACAGACCCTGATGGGTGCCCTGGACACCTGGGTGGTCCTCCAGGCCGTGGGGGTGGGGGACAGCGCTGCCACCGTCACCGGGGCCACCCTCACCTGGGTGCTGCAGGGTGAGACCCCCAAACCCCTTTTTCACCCCTAAACCATCCATGGCCCCAGGATCCACGTTTCACCATCAAATCCCCCAATTTTACCACAAAATTTCCATGTTTGACCCCCACATCTCCCATTTCTGACACCCAAATCTCCCACTTTTGATCCCAGAATTTCCCAGTTTGACACCAAATCAGCCTCAGAACCCCCTAAATTCCTACTTTTCATCCCCAAATCTATCCTGAATGTCAAAATCCCACAGTTTTATCACAAAATCTCCACCGGCATCCCCAAAATCCTCCCACTTTTCCCCAAAAATTCTCTTTGGATCCCAGAATCCCCCAATTTGACCCCAGAATGTTCTAGCAACTAGTCAAAACCAGCCCAGCTCCCCAGTGCAGGAGACGATTTTGGTGCTGGGATAAATGGCAATGTGCCAGCTTGTCAGTGTCTTTTCATGCCCTGAGGTGTCTCGGGAGGGGGAGGATGGGCTAAAGCTTCCCTCCTCCTCCTCCTCCTCCTCCTCCTCCTCTACAGGCTGGGTGCGGGTGTGCGGTCCTGGGGCCAGCGGCAGAGGCCGGGGGGGACCGTGCTAGGCACATTCAGGGGGGTCCCCGTGGGAAGGACGCTACGGAGTCCCAGCGGCTTGTGGCTCCACCTTTATTTAAAAAAAATCATTATTCCAGTACAGCCTTTTTCCAGAGCATTTGGTGTCTCAGAGGCTCATCAGAGCCAGCAGCACAGCGACCGCAGGCTCCATCTTGATGTCAGACTCTGCTTTGTTGTGAGGACTGAGACGATCTCAGCTGCCAGGGACCTGATGGAGAGTTCCGAGTCTTTTCCCAAGGGCAGGAGCGCTGCAAGAGAAGGGAGCAGAGCAGCCGTGAGCCCCCAGTGCCCGCAGGGACCCCCAGGACCTCCCCCAGCCCATGCCAACCCCAGCCATCTCCTTCCCTGCCAGGAGGAGCCAGTGAGAGAACCAGAGCGGCTGAAGCTGCTGCTCAGGAATGACCCGTGTGCCCCCGACACACAGAGGGGCTCAGGACTGGGCCAGGTCTCAGAGTCATTTTTTCATTTGCTGTACGAGTGGGTGTAGAGTTGTGTGCAGCCTCAACGAGCCCGTGTATTGATCTGAGCATCCCAGTGTGGAGTCTGGACATCATCAGTCTCCTGGCAAGGGGCAGGACAGGGATGGCTGTTCTTTCCCCACAAATTCCCTTCCTTTTTGGTGAGAAAACAAAATTCCTCCAATTTCAAGACCTTACTAAAGAGATATGCTAACCTATGTGTTAAGATACAAACAACTTTGTGAAACTGCTCTTGAAAAAACCCTCCTGAAACTGCTCGTCTGCCCCTGGAGTATTTTCCTGGGGCGGGGCTGGGCACGGCAGCACCTGCCCGGGATCTGTCCCCTACTCACCATCACAGATGTCCCCCACACTCTCCTGGATGAGGGTCCTCCGGTGCCGCACAGCAAGACCTGGGGCACAGAGCTAATGTCAGAGCTCTGCTCCCCCTGGGCAGGGCTGTGCCCCAGCAAGGGGGAAGTGGGACCCAGCAAGACCCCCAGTGAGCACACCAGTGGGAACTGGGGCCAGGCGGCCAGAAATGGGTCCCTGGGGACTCACCGATGAACCTGACGGCTGCCTCCCGCACAGTGGCCTGAGGATCCTTCAAGTAGGGCAGGCACTGCAGCAGGTATTCGTCCACCCTGCTCTTCCTGTGTGTTATCTGAGGGAGCACAAGGGCACAGGGCTGGTACGGACCCTCCGCAGCCATCCGGACCAGTCCCTCCTGCCAGCACCCCCGCTCCCTCCCAGTGACTCCCGTCTCCCAGCCAGAAGCCTCGTGGGGCTGAGGGCCAGAGAGAGCCGCAGGTAGAGGGGGCTGGGAGTGCAGAGACCCCTCTGTCCCGCTGACAGGGCCCAGCTGGGTCGGGCTCTCCTGGAGAAGAGCCCTTGGGGGCTGCGTGCTGGAGGGCAGGGAAGGAGGGTGCAGCTGGAGCAGCGGGGCTGGAGCAGGGTGGCGATGCAGAGCAGCACAGCCCCCCCTGGCACGGCTGCAGCCCCTGTCCAGCCCGCCCCGGTGGTTTGGGGGGTGTCCTCACCAAGCACTGTCCAATCAGGTCTGTCTGCCATGTCTTGGCCATGGAGCTGAGCGTCCTCCAGCCCAGGAAGTCTCCACAGGCGCTGAGGGTGTCCCGGGAAGCCTGTGGAGAAGCAGAGGCTGGGAGATGGCACCAGAGCCCAGGGAAGGAGACCTGGCATCCTCCTGCTCTGGTCCTGGCTTTGAGCTGGGGGCACGGGGTGATCCTGGGATTGGATGCCCCTTCATTCCTGGGGCCATCCTGCACTCTGGGAGCTGGCCCCAACTGAGCAGGGAACTGTCTGTGCCAGGTTCTCTGGCCCTGCTCGTGCTGGGGCTGCAGGGACCCTTCCTGTGGGCTGGGTGGTCCCCACCTCCCCCTCCATCTCTGCAGCACTGGGACCAGTGCAGCAGGACCCTGGGTGACACACATTGCCATTGTCCCTCATGCCCTGGCCACCCCCGTGGTGTCAGCACACCCTTCCCCGTGACACCAATCACTGGTCACTGCACCTTGGCCACGCTCTCAACCTTGTCACTCATACGGAATAACAGTGGGACCAGGATACTCTGTGCTGTCTTCATCATTTTTCTCTTGTTTCTCCCCACCATGGTCTTCATCACGTCTTTGAAGAGGCGGATGGAGAGCTCCCGCACCCGGCTGCACTCCTGGCAGGGAAGAGGACAGACGCAGCTCAGCACCAGCCACTCCTCACCCACGGGGAGCAGGGGCGTTAGCGTGGCTGGGGGAGAGGAGCTGCTCCGGGATCAGATCCTGAACCAGGAGCCATCGGCCAGACCTGCAGCTGCAGCATAACGGCCCCAGAGCACTGAAAGGCCACGGATGAGGAGCGGGGAGAAGAGCAACCCCAAAAGGCTTCGCAAGAGGAGCAAGGGGGGGACCCCTGCCCAAATGCTTCCCGCATGGCCGCACTGAAGGGCAGCCATCTTTCACCCATCGCCTCTGCTCAGGCTCCCATGGCAGACTTACATCATCAAAGAGGGGCAGGAGCTTCTCTGCCAGCCTCAGGGAGATGAGGTTGGCCTCTTCCCTCTTCATGTGACCCATCATGTTGATGAAGAGAATCAGGGCCTTCATCCTGACATCAGCGTTGGCTGCCAGAAAGTTCTCCGTGATGTCGGGCAGCAGCACCAGCATTTTCCTTGCCTGTACAGAACACACCAGCCACCTTCTTGTGAAGCAGTGAAAGACACCCCCCCAGGCACCCCCAAACCCCCTCCCAAGAGCAGGGAGGGTGCTTGGAGCCATCACCCCTCATCCTCCCGGACAGGGTCAAGCCACTGCATCCCCCAGGCCCCGGATACCAATGTGTCTCCCCTTGCCGACCCCCCGCTCACCGTTTCGGGTGTTTTTGAAAGTGTGGTGAGGCCCGTGAGCACCAGCGAGAGCATCACCGGGCTGGGATGCCTCAGGAACCTCTGCGCACTGTAGAGGGCAGCAAAGTCCTTGTCATCAATGTCAGTGCAGACTAGGAGCTGAAACGGAGACAGTGGTGAGAGACCAGCAGAGCTGCAGGGCTCCCTCCTCCCCACCAGCACGGTCCATGGGAAATGTCTCCTCTCCGCCTGAAACCACCTCCAAGTCCCCACGTCTCTGACCCAGGACCAGCAACCACCTTGACTCTGGTTTCTTCCCCTTCCTGGGGTCTTCAGGCTGTGGAGCTGGGCAGGGGGATGCAGGCAGGGGAGAGGGCAGAGTGCTGCCTGTGCTGGGACAGGCTTGGTGGGGCCAAACCAGTATGGGGTGGGCCCAAGCATGTGGCACAGGGGTCTTGCTGGTGCTGAGCAGGGGAAGGAGGAGGAGGAGGAAGGCAGAGCGCTGGGGCTGGGTGTGGGTCACTCACAGCCAAGGGGTAGATGCAGGCGTCATCCACGGCAGAGCTGAACACCCTGCGCTCCCGGCAGTCCTCCAGCACGCTGACCAGCTCCGACAAGATGGTCAATAAATCCCAGGGCATGGAGATCATCACCTCCCACATGGCCATGGCAGCGCTGCAGAGCCAGAGCCAACTCGGTCAGTGGGGCTGCCTGGGCTCCTCTGGACCCTGGCCCTGCCCACCCCCTCATTTCGGGGTGCCCGGGGAGGCAGAGGGGGGTGAGGTTCTGTTCCCATGGGAAAGGGGCTCTGCTTGGGCCAGTTCTGGCTGAAGGGGGAAGTGTGGTGGGATGGAGAGCCCTGCTCCTCGGGGATATCCCGCAGTTCCCCGTGGGTCTGGCAGCCAGAGTCTCTGGCCCACTCTCCCCATGGAAACAAGCCCTCAAAGCTGTCAGGGCCAGTACCTGTCACATGTTGGAGAGATGCTCAGCAGGCTCCTGACCACCTCCCTGGAGCTCCAGCTGGTCAGCAGCAGCAGCAGTGAGTCCAGGCTGTTCCGGGCTGGCTCTGTGCAGACGTGCTCCACATTTTTGTGGATGTATCTCATCACTTTTGGCACCTGGAGGGGACATGGGTAAGGATGGTGCTGCCATTCCCACCCCTCCCTGCTGCCTTGAAATGGGTTTTGGGTGCCTGAGAGCTGTGTTAGGGCAGGAGGGAAGAACAAGACTTGACATGGAAGGACAGTCCAGCCACAGGGCACTTACATTCATCAGCCAGGACGCGGGGTCCCTCACGGCCATGTCCACGATGTCACTGCCCATCTGCCTGTCACTGGCATCGTCTGCCGTCAAGGCCTCAATGGCCACGAGGAGAATGTCCATCCTCTGAGAAGGCTGGAGGTATTCACCAGACACCTACGGGAGGAGGGATGGGGGGAAGACGTGTCACTCCGAGCATGCCGACGGTGCTGCACGGCTGATCAGCTCAACCATCCTTGGGTCCATTTGCTGCACAAGCTGATGCCATGGACAAGGGTCCCTGGGAGCTCATTACCATTGTCATGTCGCTGCTGTCAAGCAAAGAAAGCAATGAGGTGCTCTCAGAATCCCGTCTTGGTTGGAGCTCTGTGAGCTCTGCATCCTCCTCCGTCAGTGTCTCGCCTACAGGTAACAAGGAAGAGTCAGTAGGACGTGCCACCTTCCCAACGAGCCTCCCAGGTGGCGAAGAGCTTTAAATGGCCCCACGCCGAGGAAATGGGGTCCCGGCATCGAGCCAGCCCTGGGGAGCCCTCTACTCACCCATCTGCAGGGTCTGGACTGTGGACACCTCACAGGGCTCTGGAAGAGAGCTGCTCTCCTGGAGAGCCCCCACCTCCTCCCAAACCACCCTGGGGCTGCTGGGGACTCCCTCTGCCATCCTCAAAAATGGAGGGAAGTGGTTGAGGGACCGTGGGGGGTTCAGCTTTAGGAAGCGATGGGAAAAGACGTGGGCCGTGCTCAGGAGTCTCCTCGCTGTGCTCCTGCCCTGTCCCTTCCCCGTGTTGTCTGACACCGTGGGGCAGCACTGCTTAGATACGGTGCCGGGGGGCACACAGAAGCGTGTCACAAAGGGGGTCACAGTGATGCGTCACCCAGGCCGGGTGGGGCAAGGTTCCACTGCAGGGGGGTAGGGACCCAGCTCGCCATTGGCCAACTGCTCCTCTCAGGGTGTCCCCAGGCACCCATCATTTCCCCTCAGCACCTTCCTGTACCCCCCCAGCTCGTCCCAGAGCGTTCACACACCCCAGCACAGGCACCCGACCACCTGCTTTGGTCCTGACAGAAGCACTCCAGACTGCCCTGCCCCACTTTGTGGTCACCTGAAGCGTTTGCTCGCCCGTGTCCAGTTCTCTCCCACACTCGCAGAGTAGCTTTAATCTGCTACAACAGTGTCCTGGTTTCAGCTGGGATAGAGTTAATTTTCTCCAGCTGGGAGGAAACACAGCCCCAGAGCTGTGTGTTGTGACGGCAGGATCTCCGTTCTGTCGGGGGCGCTGGCTGGGTATCGGTCGGTGGGTGCTGAGCAATCGCCTTGTGCATCACCCATTTGTACTTTCTATTATTGTTATTGTTTTATTACAGTCACTAAACTGGTTTATTTTATCTCAACCTATGAGTTTTCCTTGTTGTCACGTCCCGCTCCAGCGAGGGGGACAAGTGACTCAGATTCGCAAATCCCCAATTGGAGCGGACAACAAGTCTCCAAGTTCAAGCATTTATTAACTACCTACAATGCACTAATTGAACACATGATAACTGGCTAAGTACAGAGCAAGCTGTGGCAAGCAATATAATATGCTTTACATTTCTTAACAGAAAAAAGGAAAAGAGGGAGATAGAGGGAATGGGGGAGTACAGATCACCGGTCTGGGTTCCTGCGCTGCTCCTGCTGGCGAGGATTCCAGGAGGCAGCTATCTTCTTCGCTGGCATCCGTCGTCTTTGCTTCACTGCTCTCTCCAGACGGCCGGGGCGGGGGCAGGAAGAGGGGCAGAGAGAGAGAGAGAGAGAGCCCTTTCTTCTCCCCTTTGATTTATACCCACTTTCCTTGGGTCCATCCCGTAGGTCAACCCACAGACCTACGTATCCCATGTACAGGGAGGGGTAAGGTGTTTCATGGGATGATGTCACTCGCATGATCAGGACAGCCCTCGTTAGCATATTGAGGGGTGTCAACTTTAATATGCATTTCGTGGATAATGAAGCAAAGGTCGTTCACCGGACACATGGCCCTTGAAATCTGCCCAGGTGCCCCAGGGCAGAGCCGTCCCATCTCCACAGGGCTCTCTCCCCCAGATACATCGGGCAGCCTTATCAGCTTCGGCCTCCACAGAAAGCACCCTGTGACTCATAGTTTTGTCTTGCGAGTGTTTGAGGCAAATCTTCAATCAGCCTCAACTTTTGCTTTCCCAGGCTGTTTGTCTTAGTTTTTCACAGGCCTGGTTGCTCGGCTCTCACACTTGTGTCCCTCCACTCTCTTCCCCCGTTCCCCCGACGGGGGGAGGATGACCAAGCAGTGCGCGGTGTTTGGCTTTGACCGAATTCAAACCACCGGAGTCATTTTTGGGGCCCAGCAGGGGCTTGAAGGGTTGAAATAATGGCAGATCGGGTCAGTGTGTCATAGCCATTGGTTAAAGCATTCATTACATTGGCTTATCTATTGCTGGGCATAATGTCCATCACTTGGCTCCTTAAAATTGCCTCTCCTCATTTGCTGTATAGAGTCCCCCTGCTGCTGCTCAGCACCCATGGAAGCTGGGTTATGTTGCCTAATGATGCTTAACGACCTGGCTCAGGGACAAAAAACACAGCGGCCAACCCCAGGCCGCTCGGTCCATCTGCACAGAGACATCAATGTGATGGATGGAAAATGGCATTTATTATTGTATAACACCGCTTTTTATACCCTGGGTTTATGATGTCACATCCGTCTGCCTACGTTTTATCTTCCTGTAGAACGCAATATCTTCCGAGCGCCAGACCCTAACTCCCACATTTCCCACACCCCCCCCCATTGCTTTTTTAATGATATGACAATACCTGTAAAATTTATTGGAAGGTTATATTGATTAGGAATTAGCTACACCTTAAAAAAAACAGCGTACCTAAAAAAAAAAGTTTCATAAAGGCTGGAATTATATAGCAGCTGCAATAATTGATAAAAAGGTAAACTAAATATATTATTTGTGATTAAAATATAAAATAGTGCACTTAATCAATAAGAATGCTAACATTCAGACCCGCAATCGCTAGGGAACCCTGTGTGCAGCGAGAATCAGAGCGCCCTTCTTCACAAACCAAAAACCCTACCTGATGCGTCCATCCATAGGAGAGGCATCCAACATCACTGCAAGCAGGTCCTGCTCTGAAATCAACAGGCCAAAATGATTGGCAAATTCCTTTAAGCGGGAACATCTGATTCTAAATCTCCTGTTGGGTTCTACCCAGAGTCTGGCCAGAACTCTGGGGGAAGACCATGGGAGTTTCTAAAGGTAAAATATTTCAAGTTCTTTGTTCTTAACGCCAATAAATATAAAAATAAAGCATACATATAAAACATTAATGCTATAGATAATACTTAGACTATCAGACTTAAAATGACAGACTACGGAGGTAATATATTGAGTGCCGAGTGAGCATGCTTTAGAGCATTTGCTGGTGATCGATAAACAGAATGTTAAACTTTTCTAAGCAGCTTTTCCACAAACGACACTAACTTATTCAATATGCAAAGCCCCAAAATTAGTACCAACAGTATTATGGTGAGTGGGCCGATCAGAGCGGAAAAAAGGATGGTTAGCCATGAAGACTGTCTGAACCAAGAGCCAAACCATTCTTGTAGGGCTTCTCTTCCCCTTTTTCTTTGGGCTAGCCGATCTCTCAATTCAGCCATGGTGTCCTGTAGGATTCCTGTGTGGGCTGCATAAAACCAACATTCTTCCCCTAATGTGGCACAAACCCCCTCGATACAACAGTAGAAGGTTTAACTGTTGCCTATTCTGCAAAACGACCTTCGAAATGAAAGAGACATTTTCCAAAAAGGAGACAGATTTTTCAATTCTTTGTAGGTCCTCATCTATGGTCATTTGTAGCTGGGATAATCCCTGGGTCGCGAGGGCCGAAACTCCCGTGGCTGTGCCGACCGCTCCTAGCCCGAGCAGCGTTGCAATGGTGATGCCTGTCAGTACCGCTCTTTTATCAGTCAGGCGAGGTTCTTTGAAATAGTGATATAGGTCTTCCTCTGGGTGATATAGGACCTTAGGAACAACTATAACTTGGACACAGAAGTCAGCAGAATTATCAAAAAGAGTAAGGGACACACAGGGGGTTACTCCTGACTTGTGGCAGACCCACATTGCAGATGTAGATGGGATTGCCCATTTGTAGGCTCTGTTGACCCGAAGCTTTCGCACAAACAAAACTACCACAGTTTGCCAAAGAGGTATTGCCCAGACATACGCCCTGGCCCTTGACCTGGTTCAGGTTGATCCCTCTCCATGGTGTGTCGCACCTGCATTGAGTTGGATTATTGTCTGGCGAGTAGTAAAAGGAGGCATTGAGGGTGACACCCTCATAAAAGGGCGGGTTCATATTGTAGCACAGCCAGCAGGAGCTCGTGAGGTCTGGATCTGACTGGTTCAGTGACCAAAAGGTAGCATTCAGTACATTAAGGAACAGCTTATCAGATAAGCGGTAAGGGCCCACCTTGGGTTCGCTTGGAGGGGTGATCTGCTTAGCTGCTAGGGGAGTAGTTAGGATAGGGGTGGATAATGGCAAGCTTTCTCTTCCTTGTTCAGCGCCATTGTCGTTTCTGACTTTGACATTGGGGCTGATTGCTGTGCTGCTTTGTATTCCCTGTTTTCTAATAGAAAACAAGCTCCCCCTGTCCGTACTAGATTCATAGTGTCTGACGCCCCAAGTTTTCCAAATCATCCATCTTGGATCATCCTCATTGGTGACACTGAGCATAACGTACAGACACCAATTCTTGATTTTCCCATGGGTTGCTGCTAGCCCTGGTCTTAAGGGGTCTTTTGGAGGAATGACACACCCGTAAGGTCCTGGTTGTACTTTCAAATATTTGTCTGGTCCTGCCCCTGGCGCCCAATCTGAGGCAATTGTCTCACATCCCCCGTGGGAACAGTAATACTGATTGGGGGCGTTACAGTAAGGCCTGCCAGGGTTAGAGCTGGGACACATGTAATAGCTTGACATGTGTAAACAGGACTCTCCTGGGGCTAAGTCACAGAGTTTTACCTGAAAGCTAGGGGGCGCCGAAGTGATGATTGTTTGCAGTATCTCTTGATCCCATCTCGTTAATACCCATTCCCACGTACAAGCCACAAGATACTATGAACCCTACAAGCAAAATAAACAGAAACATCGCAGCAGCCCTTTGCGGGGGTGTCTCAGCTGACGCTCAGGTTCTGGTGAAGCAGAGCTCTCTGCTGTAGTCAGGGTATTCTCCGACTCAGTCTCTCACCACAGGAGCCTACGTGTTATGGGGGCGCCCGATGGTTAGGTCCTGCGAATAAAAACTTATAGTTCTCATTAGTTTCATCCTAGAGGTCGGGTTTAATAGACTTAAGGGGGCACCATTTAATTTGACCATCTTTTTAACTGCGGCATACTCCTGTCCTGTTAAAATTAGCCTCCACCCCCGTTCCCATTTTCCCAGTTCATTTCTGATTGCGGCCAGTTGACCTTCTTCTAATGCTTGAGTGGTCCAGTATTTTTGGGTGGGGCTATGCGCTGCTTCTCCTCTGGGGAATTGGTTTAACGTTAGCAGGGTAGTTGCCAAAAGACGTACTTGGTCTTCTGATGGAATGGCGTTGGTAAAGCCTTCTGTCTTTGCTAATATTTCTAATTTCCATTTCAGAGATTCATGTAGTTGACGGGCCTCCCTTAGCGTTCGTAATTCTTTTGCAGCAGTGTCAGCTTTATCATCACCGATTTGGAAGTACCTTTTAACAGGACTATGACTGTTGACATGGAGAACTGAAATGGTCCCTTTCCTGGCGGAGAGTGCCTCTTCGAGCATTAGCGCTGTTGTGGATGTTGTCACGCCAGGACCTGACATGGCTAGGCAAAGTTTAGCTGCAAACATGGAGTCAGTCACTATATTGAGATATTCCATTGGGAACAGCCCGCATGCTCGTACTATAGCTGCTGCTTCTAGCTGTTGAACTGAAAGCTCATAATCGGCTGTTTTGATACGGTGCCATTTGTCTCCTGATTGCCACACTGCTACGGCAGTCCATGTCGTTGAAGATGCATCTGTAAAGACTGTTGGTCCTTCCTGAGGTTGGTCCATGACCTTAGATGGGGGGGTCAACGTCTACAACCACCAACATTTGAGTCCAGGGAGGTTTTGTGGCATACCGGATTTCTCCACCAAATCCAGTCAGGGCTATAGCTACATACTCTGATGTCACTGACTGCGTTGAGAGCTGCTTATAGAAGGGTAGGTATATTCTGGCGGGCTCGATGCTCAAGTGTCTTAGGGCGAGTTTTCTGCCTTTCATGATGAGATTACCAATGCACTCGACCCCTGGAGAGAAATCACGTGATGGTTTTCCCAGGGCTATCCATTGTATTGGTTGGGCTTTTTCAGGGGAGCCCT